TATATATATATATATATATATATGTATATATATATATATATATATATATATATATATATATATATATATATATATATATATATATATATATATATATATATATATATATATATATATATATATATATATATATATATATATATATATATATATATATATATATATATATATATATATATATATAGCCACGTTACATTGAAAAATGAAATCAATGTAGACGGGTTTAAATACTATTGAGCATCGACTTTATTTTATGAAAAAATGAAAAATTCAAAAGATTTATATATTAGTAAATGAAATCAAAGTAATAAATGAAATTTTATAACATTAAATTGGGATGCTGATTGACAATTTATGGTAAATAAACATTTAAAACTCAATATAAAATTTGAAATCCGAAAAATTTATATTTCGAATTAACACAATCAAGTTTAATTTGCAATCTGATTATAAAAAAAAATCAAAATATAATAATGTATTGCGAAAAAATTAAATTATAGATTAAAATAATCAATTTTAATTTGAAATTTGAAAATTAAAAAAAATAAAAATATAATAATGTATTAATACAATCATCGTTTTCATATAATAATGTATTCATAAAAAAAATTATAAATTAATCCAGCATAATTGTTTGAAAGTATAATAGAAATAAACAATTTCAAATTATTATTAACAAAAAATATTGAATATTTAATAAACAGTACAATATAAAAAAAATTGTTCATAATATTTTTTATTAAATGGATATTCGAATATTCCAAAATATTGAGAATTATTAAAAAAACAAATGTATTCCTTTATTTTAATATTTGAATATTAAAAACGTTTTTTTCTTAAAATTATTAGAATATTCGTAAAAAAGTTGAGTATCCTGAATTTTTTCAATAAATATATTTGGAAATATTGAAAATATAAATTCGATATTGTTTTTTCGAATTTATAGAAAATTAAATTTGGAAATAATATATATATATATATATATATATATATATATATACATGTGGTAAATATTTAAATGAGTGTATAAATGTTAAATAGGAAAAACCTTAAATACATACCAAATTAAAAATGACAACTAATCAATTGAGGAATCCATCTCATCAATTGAATGACAATTAAGCAATTTTGATAAATGACATAAACATTTGCCACAAGTCATTCATATAGGGTATAGATCATATTTTTATATTATATATAGATATCTTGAACTCCGGCCTATAGAAAATTGAAATGAGGGGTCTAGGCAATTATTTAGTCTATGGAAATATGTAGAAAATTGAAATTATTGTGTTTTTCATGGGATTAGCGGAGCTGATTATCATGTTTCTGTATGAAAAAACTGTGAGAAATTGGGCATGTCGTGGTAGTTAAGTTTTAGTTTTACTGGACAGTTCTAGAGTAAATTTTTGGGTGTAAATTTTCATGGCAAGAGGATGATGCGAATTGGTAGCTTAGTCATAAAAATGTGCAAATGGTTATGTATGTTGATGAACAGCTCTACATTTGTTGATGTTATTGTATAGAATAAGGAGAGTAAGAAGGTTACGGGAGTTGGAATTTTGGAAAAGGATCTAGATACATTGAAAGACCAGATCCAGAAGCTAGAAGCAAGGAGTAAGTTGTAAATTCTATATTTATTTTTTTAACACTATCATCTGAATATTATTTACATCAGAAACTATAACAGCGAAATTCTGTGGTAATGCAGTTCAAGTATCTGATTTCGTCCCATTCATATACCAAACTCAAAAGGGATGAAAGGTAGGGAAAACTAAGTGATGAAGTTCAAGAATATAACCTAGACAAGTCTTGTACTATTTTCTTCAGTTCCTCCACCGGAACTTCCACCGCCTTTGAAATCTTCTCCATCTGATTCTTCTCGAGTTGGAGGAACAACGCTATAAAATCACCATCCAAGAAATTGGTAGCACGAAAGTCTCCAGCCGTGGGGGAAAAAAATCTCCACTCCTTATGGCTGAGCCAGGTGGCACCCCTTTTCACTTCCCTCAAATTTGTTTGGAGCTTGTCCAACAAGATATACTTGTCCTCTGACAGAGAAGCCATGACCCCAATGGCCCCACTCACAGTACCGAATACGAGGGTTGGAATCTGGCTTACATCAGAATCGGGGAATGTCGTAAGGAATGAACCGTGCCTGAATCGATTGATAACGTCGCCAAAGTAGTATCTGCCGACCATCTCAAGACGAAACCTTCTTGGCGTCGCGTCGGTTACAACTTGATGTCGTCTATCACGGTAACGTCCTACAAGTACTGGCACAAGTTCACTTCCTTTACGTACACTGAAGAGGTTTAAATTTTTGTCAGCAAAGACGTATATGTCATCGCCTAGCATTCCAAAAGCTGACGTTCCAAAATGAGAGAACCTATGAGTTTGCATCTCGAGAGCACACTCAGGCTGCTGCATATAATAACAAAAACGTTGGTGCCATATTTGAAAATTACAAACAAAAATAGTTGGGTTCAATACACTGAAAGCGTAATAAATGGAAAAGGTCGAAAACAAACCGTTAGAGAAGATCTATCAGGATATCTTGTCGTGTGAGTCAGCAGGGATATGTTTATGCTCGGATCACCGGCAACAATGAAATCTCCTCTAGTTTCTACAAAAGGTTCAAGTTCTCTACGTCGTCCCATCTCATGTATGTGCATACATTCCAATGTCAACATAGGAGAGCCTTGATTATTGAGGGTCCACTTATAAAAATGAATATCGTAGTTAACAGCAACAAGAAGTTTCCCTTTAAATGCCTTGAGGGAATAAACACCCCCTTCCATTTCCCTATTAGCTATTTCACGCAGCTTTCCACAGTTTACGTCGTAAACTAATATCCGACCCTGTTGTTTTGAGAAAGAAAAAAATTGTTATAGTTAATGATAAAAAGTAGAGGGGCAGTAACTCAAACAAAAAGAGTGTCGGCAACTAACCCTGGTAGGATGGTCCTCTCCTCCCGTAATATATACAGTGCCGATGCAGTAGTACACCCCACTGTCACCACTGAATGAACAGCTAAGAATGGACTGACCAGTCTCAAACTTATCCAATTTAATTGATGATTTGATATCAAAAGATTGATCGTCTAACAAGTGGATTCCACAATATTTTGCACTTGAAGAGCATATGACAAATGTTTGGGTCTGTTCCTGATGACATATACATCGGGCACAGTGCCCACCCTCAAGTTTGATACGGTCTGTATAAAGCTTTTGAATTCTATCCATGGTCCCAAAGAGTAATTCATCTTCTTTAGCAATTGCAAAGCTGTTGAAAGAATGAATCCTTAAAAGAGCTCCAGGTGTACCACAGAAGATTCAATCAACAGAAAGAAAGAAAATGAATGTCTCTCCAACAGTAATTAACTCCCACAAATTAATACCCTCCTACCACAACTCAAGTCCCAAGCACTACAATAAACAAAAGCTAGGTTTCGACATATCATAACCTAATACCTTACAGTAAATCAGACTTAACAATAATGTTAACCAAGGATGACCCAGCCCTATTGCAGGAATGGAATGATATTATACCTGTTAGACAAAGAATCTGGATTGAAAGGGCACACACTTCTGACTCCTTTCATACAGAATACATTGGTGTAAAACAATTTCCTGTTATTGCTGTAAATGATGGTTTGTTGACTATAAGAAGCAGCAAAAACATGTGTAGCATTCTCTGAAGAAAAAATACAGAGTGTAATGGGCTCGGTCCCTAAAGACACTCTCTTCCCGTCCGCCAACTCCAACTCATCTTTCCTTGTATTCAACACAAAATTCCAAAGATGCCCTTCCCCAAGACCACATAACAAGTAAGATACCTGACAAAAAAAAGCAGCAATGGTGTTAAATCCATCAGGGCTGCTAGGAACTTAATCTCATAACTCAGTAAGTTCATGTAAATATTAAGTACAAACTTCTCCTTAAAAAATCAAATACAATTTTGTAATTTTTGACAAATACTTTGACAGCAAACTACACAAAGTCTGTTAATTTTTCAGAGCACAATCACACATATACCCAACTAATGGAAAATCTCCTACCATGCTGATACTTTTAATGGGCACCTTAGGACACTACGAAGACATAAATATAAATCCTCCCCACAAGGGTGTCTTCTTTTGTACATTATAACTAGCATAACCTGATGTACAGCACCAAGTTAAGAAATTTATACAGGGCCATTTGCTGTAACCATTCTTATGAATCAAAAGTCTCTCACAACATATAAATGAAAGTAAAACACCCCCATGGTCTTTAGAACCAGCCACTTTAAAACGCAAGTAACAGTTCCTATTAAAACTAGAGTACCAAAGGCAATATATACCCAGGGGCCAAATTTTCTCCATATGAAAAAAAAATGCACGAACACCAAGGAACATAATTTAAGAAGTTATCATAATTAAGAATGGAACTAACCCCTTCGAACGAACACAGAAGTACAGAGCGAGGAACCCCTTCCAAAGGTTCCTTCATCAAAAGTTTCAACGATGGTAGTGTAAGTATGCTAACACTGTTATCTGTCCACGTGCCAACTGCTGCTAGTTGACCATCACTTTGATCACCAGTTGGAGTTATGTGCAGACTTGAAATATCATGATCCAACTGAGTCTGCTTTCCTTGTGTCAACACGCCATCTCCAATTAATAGATGGACCAGTCGGTTACAACCAATAGCCAATAAAACCTGTTAATAAGATGAAGTTTTTGGACAACTTCAGAAATATTGGTCGAGAAGTTATAAATGTAAAGGGAGAAACCCTGGCACTAGACTGTGATAAATCCATCATAGAACCATCATAGAAAAAACTCCACACAAGCCCAACTAGTTGACCAAATCTTTGCTTGCAATGGAAATTGAGTAATATATGGGCTAAAACGAGGGGCTGGCTAAACGTTCACATCAATACCCACGCAAACATGACCACCTCAGTGGACCAATTGACACAGTGCTGCACTGTATCATCTTTACAAAATCTTTGTGAGAAATGAGAACTGCACTTGACACTTATGGTTTTAACTAGCTTCTTGCAGGATCTTAGTTTCCAGTTTCATCCTATAACTAATAGTTGGAAGTATACCTGAGTGGCATTGGCTGTGCCAACATTGATTAAGTAATCTTCCGAAGGTAACCACTCGTCACAGAGCTTTCCAGTGGTCAGACTAACCAATCTAACTGCATATGAGGTAACCTGCATGATTCAATTCCCACTGTAAAATTGGCTACTGCGATTTCAAATTTAAATAGGTAACACAGTTCCTCCTTGCAATCACCTGGAGAAGAACGAGCCAGCATTATTGCCACACTAGTTATGTTGTAAAAAAAGAAAAAAAAAAAAAAAAAAAGGAAAGCGCAACGACCATAGCAACAATATTTCCCCACACTTCAATTTTATTTTGGTTGAGCTTAATGTCTTAACTTCACGCTGATAGTATTACACATTGCGTAAACCAAGATTAAAAATAATTATTTTCTACTCCAGTGAAAGAGGCGGCGCCAGTAATTTCACTCATTCTGTAATGGACTATTGATGAATAAGAAATAGGATACAATGCCACCATGTAATTTTAGAGGATTCTTTGGGGAAAAAAAAAACCACATTTGAGTGTTTCTGGGAATAGAATATAGTAGAAGACCTTTAGCTATTTTTCCAAACCTCCCATATAATTTATGTTCGAAACTAACACTATATAGGTTAAAGATAGGTATTTACAATATAAACAGAAAACCTTCCTATGAACTATGTAGGATGGGGCCAATTAATGCACATTGTTTTTTCCCTCCACTTTTGACCTAAAAGAATAAATATCTGCATCAACTGCTAATTGACGATTTATAATCCGCCTTTAAGAAAATATTAGCTAATGAGTCTGTTCACAAACATTATATATTAGTTTTAGGTGATCATAATGTATAAGATTTAGACAATATGAACAAAATGTTTTTTGGATGCTTCAACACCATACCTGCACAAGCTGGTCATAATTAGCATAATGACAAAATAATGTCTCAGCGTCTGAAGATAAACCTTGCATCTGAGTTTCCCCAATTATTCCCTCAGATTTCATCTTCAAAATACATGTCTTGTTAGCATGGCTAACAACCAAGAATAGGTCATGTGTATTATCAGCAGCTGATTGTAATGACCACATTTGTTTGATTCCTGGATGCTCTACAGAATCCTATAAATATCATGAAAATATATTATACTGAGAAAATAAGTCCGGGAAACAATGCCAAGAAGAAACTTATTTCATACCAGCTCATTTATTCTGGTTCTTTTGCGCACAACGTATAAAGAACCATCTTTAGAGGTTCCTGAGCAAGTTACAACCTGAACTTGGTGGTGATTCTCGTAGTTAACCACACACAAGTCCACAATTGGCCCCAGATTGACAAACGTTTCATAAACTTTTACATGGGGACCTTTTGCGTCCGGATCACGGTTAATCTCTATCAGCTGGATTATATACAATCAGAAATGGAGAAGTAATAATCAATGAATCCAATAATAAAACAGTTGAAAAGATTTACAATGACAGCATAACTCAAATTTATCAAGCCATTTTTATACAACTCAAGTTTCCCAGATTTGTGGTATTCGCCTCAAACTTAGTAAAACGTGAAAATGAATATGTGATTCGGCCAAGAGACACTAAGAAATAAATAGGGAGATTTCTTTTGAAAATTTATTCCAAGTTAACAAATATCTACTCAGTTTCCGTATAAAATCAAGGAGAATAAATAAATGTTTGAGAGTATGCAAACTGACATCACACAAAAATCAAAAGAGACAGTCTGACAAACAATAGTAAAGATATTGTTGCATCATATACCAGAAAAGCATTGAACAAGCTATTTGAATACTGTATTTCCCTTACAAACGTCAGATACACAACAAAATGATAAGGCACACTCCTATTTGATATGTGATCAAAAGATCGACACTAGGACAATGCAATATTTCTTCATACAAATGCAATAGTCTTCATCAATTTAAGCATTATTTTCGAACTTAGTACGAATTTGATACAAATAAGGCAAAACTACAGAAGAAATGCATTAAAAAAAGAAACGGAGGGTGAGGAAATTTATTTGCGGTCAGCGCATATATGATCATCAAAGTGGTAACTTCGATAAATTAACTGCATTACCTATGAATAAGGCACAAGATGTCATGTCGGACAAATGGAGTGAACTATATGAGAAAAATCATGTTTTGACTTAAATACAAATGCGATACATGTTGAAGAATGGTGCCTTAAATATAACAGAACATAGGTGAGAGTGGTCTGTGTCGAAAGATATCCATATAGATACAAATTTCAAGCTCCTAACAGAAGAAATTAAACATGGTAGAACCCCATTAAAATACCTAATTTATGACTTCTTAATTTAGTAGTTATAAATGCACTATCATAGGTAAAACATACACTGTGAAGATAAAAGGAAAAACATTCTACAAACCTGTGAATCGCAATTACTTGAGCCCACAAAAATAGCAGAATCCTTAATATATGAAATGGATGATGCAACAGATGTTTCCCCCAGGGCCGTAGTTCTGAGTCCACTGACCCTACTAGATTACAAATAGAAAAAAAAAATTAGGCATGTCAAACAAAATAAGCCTGGACTTGAAGTAAAATCCCATTATGATCTATTTCTATAAACAATGTAACAGAATACAACAAGCTTACTTGTCTTCATCGTGGTCTATGACAATTAGGTGCAAAATCCCATTATGATCACTTACTAAGTAGTCTGAATTGCCACACCTTCCATAAGCACTTGTGAAAGACTTCAAAAAGGTAAAACATTAACATGAGTAACATGAACAGGTATAGATCGAGCAGCAGAGACATGCAACTTACAAGTTCGATGTTGTGTTTTATCCAAACTTTGGCTCCAAAATACTGTATACTTCGTCCACCAATTACTAGGAAACCACAAAGAGGCGGCTCAACTGGAATCAAAAATTCTGCTTTCTCAATAGCACTACATGCTCCATACCATCGAGGTCCAGCTATATCAGTCCATGGAAATGGCGAATTGTAAATACGTTCCTGATACCATGGACCCGCAACCAAAGTTTTACTGTTCAAATCGATCACATATGTTTCCACATTACAAACCTCATTGGCATCCTGCAAATCAAGTCAATGATTTATGACAAGAAGAATGTTGAAAAAGTCAAATAGAAAAAAGAAGCAAGGATTATGAATTCGAAAATATACTCTGTCAAGAACATCAAACTTGGACAAGGAAATAGCATATGGTTTAAAACTTAGGAAAACATCTTCGCTGAGCCCATCATTGGAAACGTTTTAATACCATGGAACATATATCCGGGGGAAATCATGAATCACAAAGATATTCAGTACAAAAATATCAAGTAACTAATAAATGTAGTAGAAGTAGATCACCAGATTAAGGCGACACATATGTATTTAGCAAATTGATTCATAGATTTAGGCAAGACCGCAAGAAGACAAGACAATCAAACACAGTATTCTTGGAGAATGTGCATAAATAAATCAAAACCTGATGAAGTACAACAATGGTTGGTTCCTGACAGCCATACAAAAACTTGATTTCCAAAACACGATCACCCCCCAATCTGATGAAGCAACAAATAAAATACAATGCAGGTTAGAGAGGAAATTAGAAAAACAAAGTCCATTTCACAATAAAAAAGATGAATATTGTGTAATGCTCTAAGCTTGATCATACTTAAGCTGTAATTAGGAAACCATATGATTGTCGATAATACTTGCTCTTTCAAGCTGTGCAAGTCAGTGTATGAACAACTAGAGGTTGTTAACTGAATGTGGTACCACATGAAAAGATGATATGAATAGATGTTTAAAGTTCATGGTTGTAGTTTTACTCTTTCTGTTAATGTAAATAAGACTGTTTTGAATCACTCTTGGTTGACTGAGACAATCCCAATAACCTTTGAGCATCACTTTGCATAGCAAGATGCAACAAGCTCAAAATCCACTATACACAGCAAAACAAAGTGAAAATTCAAACAAATAGGAGAAATATAATTTATTGGGAAATGTTAACAACATATTTTCCTCTTTCCAAAGAGAAAAAACACAGGGATCCATATGTTTTAATACGAAATAAACACAAAAGGTTTGCTATCATCAGCAGAGCATCAACTAGGATACCCAGGACTTTAAGTCAACAGGAACAATAAACACGAAATAAACAGGTACGCTCAGCTATGCAACAGAAACAAATGGATCTCAATCACAAAATCAATCATTTCCATGAATAAGAAGAATACCTTTCTTCATGATACACAATATCAAATGCTTCTTGAAGCTGGCCTCTATCATCAAGCGGAACGAACTGAAAGCCAACATAAAATCTCATGATGTACGTTGAAAAACAACGAAAGAAACACACTTAAACAATCCAAAAGAAACAAAAAAGAGAAATTACTGATCAACTGTACCTTGAATATTCGATTGTACACATGAAATCCAATTAATCTACAGTCTGGATCAACTATACCCATCTACGTGGAAACAATAGATAAGTCATAAATTAGTTATATTTCTTCAGTAGACAAGTGTGAGATCAAGATCGCGGCATTAAAATTCATCACCAAAAAGTAAGTACCTGGGGCATGCTCGCATGATGAGCATATGCGGCTGAAGCATCCCCAATGGACCTATCCCAGTGGTGGAAACCGGCCAAAAAATAAGCCAATTCTTTCTAGGAATAATGTAGTATAGATATAAAACCAACAACTATAATAATGATAATCAATAATCAAATATCCTTGGAAACAAAGAGTAGTTCTAAGGCCTCATTTGGATAGCCTGTAAGTCAATTATTTCAGGCCAACTCAGATGTTAATTGGGACAGTCTCAAGTCATGAAGTTATTTTGATGTACAGAGTATCGAAGCATGTAGTACGTACTAGGCAACAAGACTGACTCACCAATCGAGATATAACTTTAAGGAATTATTAAAAATATCAGAGCAACATATCAGCACACAGTAACTAGAATTTCTAAGACGTATAAACTAGTTCCGCACCTTGTAATAACAGCACCCTCAACCCATTCCATCAGACAGAATTTATGTCTTTCTTTTGTAGCTATGAAAAGGAGATCGTGGTCTAATCCCTGTTAATTTAATCAGGATATCACTCTCATTTTCTATTTCACTAGGTCATCAGAATACATGAGTTTATTTATCAAATAGAGTATCTGAGTAACTAAATGTTTCATATATCGATTTTGATACTTACTCTTGGACGTAAGAGCTCGAGTGTGACAATTCGACCATATATTGGCACGTCCAACATATGGTGAAGATCCACCTGATAATCCAGATCCATATATTACCATTGATTTCGAAACTAATCTAGTAAAATAAATTTGTGATGCAACTTAAGTATTATACCTTCAAGGCTTGACTCTCTTGAGATAAGAGTTTATAGATCTCTATTTGACTGCATTTCCTGTAAATTGGGCAGGTTTAAACACATTTCAAACTCGGATCGCTTAGGATGAAGCAGTTAGATGCTTAATTGAAGATTCTAAATGATTAAATTCCATAGCGCTAATGCAGCATAATTGACTGACACAAAAATTAAAGCCATAATCATTTACTCGGAAACAAAGGAACTTCATATTTTGTATCAAGAACATCATTATTGTATCGGAAACAAAGAGACGAAAATTTAGCGGCGAGCACTTACGCCAAGATCAAATTAATTTCCTGAACGCCGGTGAAACTGCCAACGCAAGCATGAGTAACTGCGGTCGGTTTGTGAGCCGTCGCCATATAATTCCAAATGCTCATCTTCGCCTACGGGATTACGAGAGCTCGTCAAAATCTGGCTCAGATCTAGGGTTTGCTCCTAAGTTTTGAGAGCGGGAGGAACGACAATCGCACAGAGAGAATTTTCAAAGCGAGGGAATAGAAATAAGAGAATAACTTCAAAACTGATCGCCTGGGTTTTGGTGTAAAACGGTTGCGAGTTACTTCATGACACGTGGATTTAATCCAAAACAATGAATTTTTTTTAATTATTGCATAGAACTGAGTTTATCCTTTGTATTGAGGTAAATTGCGAAAAAAATCCTCAAGTTACGCTAAATGACGAAAAATAATCTCATCTATTTGTAATTACCAAAAATCCCTTCTGATTAACTATGGATCCAATTTTTTTAAGATAAAACGTGTACAGTCTATTATATAGTATGTTAAATAGGAGAGAAACAAAAGAAAATATCGAAAATTGTGTAAATTTTATGTAACACCCCGCCTTTTCGGTAAAATATTTTATTTTATTTTACCACCTCTATGTCAAATCTATGAAATTAGGATTTAGAGTAACTCTGGCATGATTAGTAATTACGTGAAAATTATGTGATTATGTGAAATATATGATTATGTGAAATATATGATTATGTGATTTTGTGATTATGTGAAATATATGATTATGCGGTTTTGTGATTATGTGAAATATGTGATTATGTGATTACGTGAATTATGTGCTTAGGAAATATTTTGAGATATATTATGTCGAAATAAAATATTTTTCATGAACTAAGATTTTATTCTTGCATATAATTTAAGTGAGCATTTTATCATATTTATGCATGCACAAAATTTTAGAAACTAAATTTTCTCATGCATTTTAGGATTATTAATTAGTGGAGAAAATTAGAAAATTCTCCCCTCATTTTCTTCAATTTACGGACACTAATACACACAAACACACATGATTTAAAAATTGCATGTTAATTAGGAATAGACATGCATTATTAGTGTGCTTGTACTTTGAACATTAAAATAAGGGGTCATTACAATAAACTCATCAATGGGTACTTATTGGGAAAATTACATTTTTCGTCCTCATACTTTACCCACATTTTCAAAATTGTCCTAAACATTTTGGAGTTACAATAGTAGTCCTTAATCATGTCATTTTTTGACAGAATTGGTCCGCCGTTAATTTTTGCCGTTAAGTTGGATGGAAAATGGCATGTGCCTCTCACATGCCTTCGATTTGCCTCTCACATGCCTTCAATTTACAACAGTACATGAAAATGGACTTTCAACAACACGCATTGCGTCTTGTTAAAACAGATTTTTCATAATTAAAACTTGATTGAAATTCGAAATTATATAAATTCCAAAAAAACAAAATCGATATATATTTTTTTAAATTATTTTGAGAAATATTCTTTAAACAATTGAAACATTGTTTTAAAAAATGAAATATGACTTTCAAAATCAAGATTTTCGGAATTCAAATGAAAACATTGTTTCAAAATAAAATAAAAGTTCGATCCGAATAGGTGGGATAAGAAACTTCCATTTCAATCTTCACCCTAATTTAATAACCTAAAACTCGATAAATTGTTTCAAAATATTTTTAGAAGCATTGTCTAAAATAATAATATAATGTTTTAAAACCGGAATTTCTTGAATCCAAATGAAAATTATTGTTTTAAATAAAATAAAAATCTGATCGTAATAGGCGGAGTAAGAAAACTTCGTTCCAATTTTCACCCTTATTTAATAATCTAAAACTCGATACTTTTTTCAAAATAAATTCAGAAATATTGTTTACAAAATCATAATATTGTCTAAAAAATAATATTGTGTTTTAAAATCTGAACTATTTGGAAATTGAATGAATATATTATTTTAAAATAAAATAAAAATTCGATCAAACTAGGCGGCATAAGAAAAATCCTTTCCAATTTTCATCCATATTGAATGATTTAAAACTCGACATATTGTCTCACAATTGAGATTTTTGGAATTGACTAGAGGTGAAAATTGGAATGGAGATTTCTAATTCCCCAATTCCTATGAGGTTTTTTATTTTGGTTTGAAACGATATATTTTAATTGAATTCCAAAAATGTCGATTTTGGAACAATATTTTAAAATTTTAAACTATATTTTGATTTTTAAAATAATATTTCCGAAATGAGTTGATTTTTTGGAATTTACGTGATTTTAATTTTATATTAATTTTTAATTAAAAATAATAATTATAAAAAATATGTTTTAACAAGACGCAATGCGTGTTGTTGAAAGTCCATTTTCATATAGTGTTGTAAATTGAAGGCATGTGAGAGGCACATGCCATTTTCCATCCAACTTAACGGCAAAAATTAACGGCGGACCAATTCTGTCAAAAAATGGCATGATTAAGGACTACTATTGTAACTCCACAATGTTTAGGGACAATTTTGAAAAAGTGGGTAAAGTATGAGGACGAAAAATGTAATTTTCCCGGTACTTATTCATAAAGAGATCCAGACAAAAAACTCATTTACCAATAAATCCACACATGGTCCAATTTTTTGTAAAAGACTAGAATAGCCCCTCATACTTTAATATGCTCCAATTTCATCATTAACTTAATTTAACCTCAATTTGACCCCAAATTTCACAAATTATTCAATTTTGACCCAAAACTTTTTTTTCAAAAAAGAAAAATTTCAAAAAAAAAAAAAAAATCCCGCCGGATTATGGCGTTGACTTTTCGAATTTTTTTTCTCTTTCTGTAATATTTTTTTTTCGTTTAAACAACAATATTGCTGTGATTACAGTAATATTAATTATATTACTGTTAAACACAGTAAAATTAACTAGACTACAGTTTAACACAGTAATATTTCTATATTAATCTCTAGGACAGTAATATTACCACAACAAAACTCATTATTATTGTGTAATAGAGTAATATTACTATGTTGACCGCTCAACAAATGTAAACATAATAAAAAGCCAAAAGAATTAATATTACTGTGAGTGACAATAATATTACTATAACAACAGTAATATTACTGTCAACCACAATAATATTACAATAATAGACAGTAATATTATTATGTTACTCCGTGAATAACTCAAACAAACAAAATAATAATATTGATGTTGTTCACAACAATATTACTATAACAACAGTAATATTACCGTCAACCACAGTAATATTATTGTGTTTACAGTAATATTACAATAATAGACAGTAATATTATACGTTACTCCGTGAATAACTCAAACAAAACAAAAAACCCAAAAAAATAATAATATTGATGTTGTTGACAGATATTTTATTGTGTTTACAGTTATTTTACTGTCAACGACAGTAATATAATTATGTTGATTTGTCAACAAATCAAACAAAATTAAAAAAATAACAAAAAATAAAAAATAATAATATTACGTTTATTTACTGTCGACAAGTGCTAATTATAACATAAGAGAGGTGAAAAATGTTATTCGTTAAAATACAGCTTTTGCTTACAAACAGTTGGATGTGGCAGGAGAACTATTTTCCCAGCTGCAACATGGTACAGTTTCAGGATCATTGCCAATGCCAAACGCACCGAAGATGTCGTTGAACAAAGTAGAAGCACCAGAAACATCGGGATTTAAAGTATACAGTATGTCTGTTTAATGTTAAGTAGTGTTGACTACTGTTGTGGATTCAGACCCAAAACAATAACAAGCCACACAAAATGAAAATCAAGCCAAGAAAGAACACACATATACCACTGTGTTGACTCAACCGATTATTGACGCCGTTGCAGATAATACAACTACAGCTACCACAGATCTAAAACTGAAAGCTATAGAACAGATAAAGAACACAATATTTAAAGTGGTTCGACCTGTATCACCACAGGCCTACATCCACTGTGCAAAGAGAACAAAATCCACTAGATCAAGAAGGTTACAAATTACAAGATAGTGAAAACACTCAAGCTCTCAACAGCTATTTCTCCTAAGCTATATTGACACTCCCTTGTGTATACCTCACTATTTCTCTCTTGTTTCCCAACCCCAAATCTCACAAAACGTGTGGAGATTTCCTTGTTGCTTTCCCTCTAGCTTATTCCTTTTGTTCTTGAGTTTCCAGCCCTTCAAGCATCATCCCCTTGATTAGCCTTAGCCTCCAAGCCTCATCCACCAAGTGCTTTATATATGCAGCAAACCCTAGCAAAAAGCAAACTTGGTCCATAAGCAAACCACTGAGAGCTCGACAGGTGTCCACCACTGTCAGAGTGGTCCTCATGGATTATGTCTTCTAGTGTAACAGCTCCTTACACTTTCTAGCTCATCCTTTTGGCTTTACTCTAACTGCTGACCCAGATAAAGTATCCACTTGGCATGTACACGTGGATATGAGTCACATAATAACAATTCTCCACCTTGACTCATACTCCACGTAGGCTTCTCTTCCCTCTCTCTCTCTCTGCACCCTAGCTTCTTACCAAGCTAGATCCACCTAGCTTCTTACCAAGCTAGCACTGCCTACAGCAGCTCACCAAGTCCATACAATACTTGAACTTTGAAACCGGTAAAGATTTTGTTAGCATATCACCAGCGTTGTCATCTGTATGCACCTTCTCCACCTTGATCCGACCTTTAGAGACAGTATTTCTCACAAAGTTCAGTCTCACATCAATGTGTTTAGATCTCTCATGAAACACTTGATGTTTTGTCAAGTGCATTGCACTCTGATTGTCACAGTACACATTCACATTCTTTTGCTCAATCCCCAACTCCTGAACCATCCCAATCATCCATATAGCTTCTTTGACGGCCTCAGTCACTGCCATATATTCAGCTTCCGTAGTAGACAAAGCTACCACCATTGGAGGTTTGACTTTCAACTCACTGCAGTCCCAAACAGAGTGAACACATATCATGTTAAGGATTTCCTTGTGTCAATACTACCAACATAATCTGAGTCCAAAAAACCCTTCAATGCATCACCTTCTATTCTATCATTCCGCTTGAATAGAAGTCCAATCTCAGCAGATCCCTTCA